TGGCCTCGCATGCGTGACTACCACAATACCGTTCTTCCTGTGGAGAAACGGCATCGGTGAAATTCGATGCGGAACATTTTGTCACCAAATGTGCCAAGAACTGCTCGGTGTGAAAAGCGAACTGGTCGTTGTACTGAACACTGCTGAACATGTGAATTTTCTGGCCACAAATCACAGAAATTCAACTGCAGTGAACCCTGCGCCAAATCTTGGTTGCACACCGCTTCAATTGCCTGGAAGTATTTAGCCTCGAGGTTGAAAGGGATTTTGCAATCCGACATTTTGCAGGACGCCTCTCTCTCTCTCTCTCCATAGATTTTCTGCATTTTTGTTGCCGCCCTACCCCCCCCCGGAAGGTGACGATGCACTATACACATTGTCTGCTGTCTAAGGGAAGCGCCATTGCTTCTGGATTTCCCATATTTGCCTGCCTTGGAACAAGTGGAATAAATTAAATAAGTCCTGTTGCATGCAAAAAATGTGAAATGACATGCACATACTTGCAATTACGGTTTTTGATGTCAGGCCAGTTTGGATGCAGTTCCTCTGTTTGATGACATAGCGTTTTCCTCCATCATCACCAGGATGATTCCCTGAGTCTCGGGACACTTCAGGGTCACTGAGAAGTTGTTGCAATTCCTGGGTCGACATGGTGGGTGGGATTGGCTTCGAAGGCATAAGGGCACAAAGAACAAGGCATGACTTTTTTGGATGCAAGCCAGACACACACGCCCATCTCTAGGGTCCTTTTCAATCAAATGAGAACACGAAAGAAATAGAATTCGCAAGTTCAAGTTCACTGAGCCTGGGCGTCACCTCCTGCACCTGCAGATACCTGCAGCATCCTGCAGCAAGCTCCTTGGGCTTCCCTGCGGGCCGCTCCCGCATGGTGCGCTCCATCAATGCTTGTAGGGCCTCCTGGCTTTGAGGGCCTTGGACATGATTTGAGACGGCCGATTCTGGGGGGGTGTGATGCAACAGGTCCCATGTGCCGCTGCAGCGCAGATGATATGATCAGTGAAAGGCAAGAGATAATGGGAAAACTGGTGACATATGATAAGTATAGAAATATGATGAAATATGATTCTGATATATTCTGATGTAATATGATCATAGCATATCAGAGCATCATATAGCATCCCATGTCCAATCCAACTTTTGAATGATGCGCCGGTCGGACTGGGATGCCCTCACGCGGCATCTCTGCCATCTTACTTCTGGCCTGGCCATCTGTCAGGTCAGTCAGACATGACCGGGCCCCAACAGCCCCATGGGTTGAGCATGACTCGAATTTGGATGTGCTTTCTAGCTCTCAAAAAGTAAAATTACAAACTCATCCTGGCACTCTGGTCACTATGGCGTTTCGTCGTCCGGCCGGTTTGGATGCCATCACATGTTTGTTTGGTCTGGGGAATTGTCAACACGACACTTTGGGGTGGTCATTTCTTGGATGCTGGGCCAGTGAACATCACATTTGAGACTTTTCTGACTTGACCTTCCCAAAAGACTGGAGATCCAACAATCAACTGAACCATTCGTCTCACAAAACCCCATTATAGTCTCAACAAAAAGCTGTGAGATGCTTTGAGCCGCCACTCCGCCACTCCGCCAAAGCCTTTCAGAACCGGTCCGCCCCACGGTCCATGGGACCCACCTCTTTGGCCGAAAGCCGTTCGCAAAGCATCCGGCCATCGCGTGAGCTGTGAGTGAAGGCCTAGGATGATCCAAAATCGGTGCCTAATCTGTGAGATGTCTAAGGTCCGGGGCACGAAGTGAGCCATGGTTCAAAGTGGGAAAAAAACAACAAAAAGGCAGGGGTATTTATCAGGGGTTTTCATCTTGACCATTGAAGGCCTAAAGAAGAGGTTCGAACTACCATGACGACCATGGAAACGCGTGGTTCTTGGAGCAAGCCTTTTACACTGCCGCCCCGCTTCTCCACCCCGTCACCGCTTCTCGAACTACGTTCCGTCGAAGTGACCCATCCGCGTCCATCCGCCAGTTTCAGGTAGGTCTGATCCTCCTGCTTCACCGTCTCTTCGACTTCGAAGATCTGCACCAAATCGCTCGCGGAACCGAAGGTCTAAACTGACGGCCAAAGGCTGGGTGGAGACGTCTTTCGTGGCGAGCATGGCTAAACGCACATGGCTGACTGCGCCCCCCCCCAAAAGGTGTGGATGTCTGGTGGAGGGAGAATTCAGGCGACTCAATCTGGAAGTCCCACTGCCAACAGAAACGGAGGTCAACATAAGTGGCGCAACTAACATGGAGAAAAAATGATGCCGGTGGCAATCAGGACCTCGTGTCACACGTCAACACTTTAACAAGCACCTAAAGATAAGATATGGTCACCCGGATGGCTACAGTTGGTGCGTTGCATGTAGGTGTCCGCCAAATCCAATTTCAAGGTAAACCAATATAAACCTCCGATGAGCAGAACATGCATTGCACATCATATCGATTTCGGAAGCCTCTCTGGTACAGTAGCTGATCTCACTCATGCTCCCCTGTGAGACCTTCCTTGCACCAAGCCGACAAACACCAAGCCTCTCCCGGCTGCAGTTGCAAACCGGTTCGATCTGAGTTGGTATCAGGCCTTAGAACTTTGAAAAAGGATGGGAAGGATGCACCATTCAGACATATTCAGACTGATGTCTTCTCTTCGTTTGAAGCTTAGTTAGTTGCGCAGTTCGTTTTGGATCAACAAAAAGGCAATGGATGGCGACCAAGGACTGGCCATGTTCTTGGTTCTTCGCGTCGGGTCTGGTGAAACACCGGTCATCTGGGTCTTGGTGGGCCTCCCCGTTTGATGAACCCATTGTAGCGAAGGATATGTCACATTGAAGTGCTGAACCATCGAAGTCCTGATTTGTCCTACTTCTTGGACATGGAGCATCACACAGGATGTGAACTCCTTTGAACGGCAAGATTGAACACACAAAACAAACATCCTGCGGTGGGCGGAAGAATGTCCCGCGAATCAGTTCCTAAGTGGAAAATGTGGAAATCCATTTGGCAACCTTTGTTGCTTTTCAACCATGCCAAAAATCCGCTGCCGTGGGAGTCGGTCGAGTTCGGTCTGGAGGTCGGTTCACCTTTTCTCGTTCGGTCAAAAGCATTTGTGACCTTCCGGCCAGCCTTTCCGGCTCAACCCGTCTGAGGAGAGCCCACCCTGCTCGGATCCCGATGAAGGCACCGCGAGGGTCACAGACCTGGCGAGCAGACCATCCCATCCACGGCTGGCTGAGTTTCGTATGTTAAACACACATTAATGGGAAAACATGCACACAAGCAACTTCTGTTTCCCCCCCTTTTCACTTTCACCCATTTGGAGTGTCCGATGAATAAGAACCCAAGCATCTTTGGTTTTGTCTCTTCCTGAAGCGAGATGAACATGAAACCCTTGGAGCACAGTACATTCAAAAACTTGTGGGTTCAAAAGGAGCACAGCTGAAGTGTTTTTTCCTCATCCAAACGCAATGCCGGATAGCTCTAACGAATTAGTTTGTTGCAACATCTTGAAACAAAACCATATCATGCATACAAAACATTTGCTGAAACTTCTGCTCAAGTCCCACCATCCCACGCGGTGCGCTTCGTGCGGTTCGTGCGGTTCATCTTCGTTTGGCTTCTGGGATGCCGTGGCATGATAGAAAATCCCATCAGCGCCGTCTTCATCCACCGCAGCCTGGTGGACACACAAAAGCCTAATGGTGGCTGGGCGACCAACCACCAGTCGTCAAGATACCCAAGTGATCTCGTCTTACTTGGGGGGGCTTAAGGACCTTTTTCCATCCTTGTTGTGCCACCTAAGATACCAAAGGCTCCAGGGTGCGAGTCAAGTCGCTCAGACTTCGGAATGGCCCTTGGGTGAAGTTGGGTGGCCCGCCGAATTTGTGTTGTCACCATTCCATGCTTTTTGAATTGATTAGCTAGTGAAAGGGTGGAACCGCAGTTCACTTTCAAACGTTAAGCTTGGATGCTTGAATCTAACGAAATCTTCCGACAATAGCCGCATTGCTTGGAACAGGGAGGAGGTCGCTGTTTCCCAAACATATTCTATGATATTCTATTGCCAGAGTCTCAATTGACACCCTCCCAGTCTGGCCCCCAGTCGAGTACCACTGCACTACTTTGGCCTCTTCGCCGTCGTCATGCAGCAAGTACCTGGCGCCGTCTCTCGCTCGGTTTCATGGCACCTGCTCGGGGCAGGCGCCTAGCACCAAGTGTGTCACATAAAGGTAAAGAATATATCATCCCCAAACCAAAGAGAAATAGTAAAGGTTGATGATGATTATGATACATTGTGATTATATGAGCATGGTCGGTTAGTAAAGACCTTTGATAATATTTTAACATCTTTTACTGATTGCTACTAGTACATCCAGGTAATCAAAGGTAGGTTTGCAGCCCCATTCCCTCCTTTTCCTTCCACCAATCCAATGGAAGGCTCTATGTCCATCTGGCAACCAGACTCTCATGGAGGATGTTGGGCAGGCCATGAATCTTAGACAGTAGAATGGCGCAACATTGCCCAACTCTTCAACAAAGTGATTACCCACAAGCGGACGAAGGTAGCCACACAAATACCACGAAACTTGAGAAAACGTGTCCAGTCACCCTTTAGAAGACGTCCTCAACACGTTTACTTCGTATGGATTCAGATGCTTTCACCAGCTAGCAGTCACAGAGACCTGACCACATGGAACGGGATGTGGCCGGCATGGGCCTGTGGTCGCTGGACTGTCGTCGCGGTCAAAAGTAGGAGACCGACCGGGCACGACCTACCGACGTCAGGTCAAGCTATAGATGTTGTTGGGGTTCCAGGTTGTGATCCACAGCCAAATCAAGAGATCCAACATCTTTTGGCTTAACGAAAATATGCGAAATGCGAATCGACCAAACCTGCCAGTCGACGAAGCAGCCAACCTTCCAGTCCCCACCACATCTCCCACCGTTCCCCACTGATGGCGCACCAAAGGAGACCCCC